GGTGTTCCGGTCGCTTCTGCTGAAGTCAGCTCAGCCTTCGTGGAAGAACCCTTGCTGATGGTTGGCGTGGTTTGACTTTCAAAAGACGTCACACCGGTCTCCACCATGGGAGGCGGGCTCTTTGGCGTGGAAGCTCTCACCTCAAGAGTCGAGGTACTCAACTGCGCAGAAGTAGGAGCTGTTGCCGAAGAGAGTGGCGGGCTGCTGAACTCAGCTGCAATTCCTTCGACCTCAGCCGAAGTACTGCTCTCCCGGAAGGTAACGGTGGTCTCCTCGGTAGGGGCAATCGAAGAGTGGTGAGTAGAAGAGACAGAAGTTGGCCTGGGACGGGTGGTTCCACTAGCAGAGCTCAGCTCCTGTTTGGTCATGGAAGAGGCGGAATGCGGCCGAGGGGTTGTGCTCTCTTGCAGTGACGTTGTCTCCGACGGCGTGGCAGAAGATTGGCCGAGGGAGGGAGTGGTTGGACGCTGGACGGAGGTTTCCTCAGTGGTGCCAACAGAGGCGGTCGTGGTGCCAATTGAAGCCACCGACTCTGCAGAGGATGTGCTTTCTGGCACTGCAGTGCTTGAGCGTGCAGAAAGGAGCGAAGACGTGGTGCCTCCTTCGGCTGTGGTGGATTCTGCCCGACTAGAAGAACTTGTGCTTTGGGACGCAACGGTGGTCTCCGGAGGGGTTGATGGCGGCGAGGTCCGAGCCCGAGAGGGTACAGTCTGCATGGAAAGCGACGTGGGCAGGGGAGACTCAGATGCTGGAGAGGGTGTTCCGGTCGCTTCTGCTGAAGTCAGCTCAGCCTTCGTGGAAGAACCCTTGCTGATGGTTGGTGTGGTTTGACTTTCAAGAGACGTCACACCGGTCTCCACCGTGAGAGGCGGGCTCTTTGGCGTGGAAGCTCTCACCTCAAGAGTCGAGGTACTCAACTGCGCAGAAGTAGGAGATGTTGCCGAAGAGAGTGGCGGGTTGCTGAACTCAGCCGCAGTTCCTTCGACCTCAGCCGAAGTACTGCTCTCCCAGAAGGTAACGGTGGTCTCCTCGGTAGGGGCAAGCGAAGAGTGGTGAGTAGAAGAGAAAGAAGTTGGCCTGGGAAGGGTGGTTCCTCTAGGAGAGGTCAGCTCCGGTTTGGTCGTGGAAGAGGCGGAATGCGGCCGTGGGGTTGTGCTCTCTTGCAGTGAGGTTGTCTC